GTCATATTTATCAATTCGGAAACAACATTGAAAGCTTCTGGCCCCCGCGTAGCGGGGTAACCTTTCTAGTTACAATTAAAAAAATAACTCACAAAAGCAAACTAAGATTTTCTGTGCCCAAATGTCACTACTTTTCGTAAGCAGCAAAAGACACATTATTAACGTCTTAGATGTGTAGTAACTTTCCTTACATAATTTAAAAATCATTACATATTGAAAAGTTAAAAGGACTGTAAATATACAATCAAGATGTATGTTCATTTTTTCTGGAACGAACTATGATTTTGCACATTTTCGCTTTTGTTGTTACATGAGTGGTTATACTAAAGATGTCGTTTTCATTACAAATATATATAATCGCAAAAGATTCATTTTCATAACATTATATGTGGTATGGAAGCATGGATGCTCCCTTATTCCATCAATTGAATACGTTGTAATAATGATGTTATGTCAAAAAATAAATGCAAAAAAATAGCAATCTATTTTCATTTGTTTTGTTTATTATAACATCGTACTTTCATTTCTTCCTATCACCAACATTCATTTGACCATTCAATATGCCATTTGAAGCCAACACCATAGCAACCAAAAAAACAGTACTAAATAGTAAAGGGTTTGACCAAAGTTTAAAATAACAAGACTACGTTGTGTCTTCAAGGAAACATTCATACCCTAAGGTAAACATTATAAAACCTAATATTTAACCATTTGAGCATAAATAAATTTGTGCAAGGAGAGTGGCAGAAAAACTACTTCCTCGTTAAATACTTATCATAATCATCAACTTCAAATTGGTCATTGTTGAAATACTTGACAGTCTAAACAAAAAAAAAAATAGTTGTAAGATAAAGGAAAAATAATGAAAGGTAAAATACCTTACATATATGGCCTCAATATACCTTAGATAAAATAGAAGGTAACCGTGACACAATAGTAATGAAAGTCGAGTTCAAGATGGGTGTTGTCATTTCTTACATCTATTGTAATTGTATCAAATTTCCAATTTCAGGCGGCAGAGAACCATTGAAGTAATATCAAAAACAACCATTAGAGTGGGTTTGGATATAGAGAAACTTGCTGATATAGAGCAATTTTGGACCAATTATCCACCATCATTTGAAGCGTAGAGATAAATTACATGATTCAAGAAAATATAAATCAAATATAATCAAGTACTCAATTAAGTAAATCAAAGTGGAATGAATACCTTAACTGGCTCAGACATTTCATCGAACGCCTTATAGGCATGTCCAATGGATAAATTAGAGAGTTATTCTTCCCAAATATAAATGAACCAAATAGCATACGGGGAATTGAGATGAAGTTAATAAGTGAGGAAATAATGACCAATGACAGACAGAAGAGCCGCTTACGGAGGGAGGTGTTGTCGACGGGAAACGAAGCACAAGAGCGGATCGATTAATCCCAAAATTGAAATAAAAAAAGCATGAATGTGAGAAATCACATAGTTAAAAATGGAGAAATAGAGAATCAATGTACCTTTGAAGTTGTGAGTGTGATGACGACGTCGATGACAGGTGGTGGTAGAGGGTGAGAGAAAGGGGGAGCGACTCGTGGTGCAAGAAAGGGGAGCGTCGGAGATCGAAACTGGCATGGAAGGCTTCCAGAGGAGAGAATGAAGTCAGTGTCTATCGATGTATGCATCCACTGTTGCCGATGTCGGTGGAGTTCCAGGGGTCCTTCCGCCACCACCTTCTTTCCCGAATTAGGGAGGAAGTGATTGTGAGTCGGCCGGGTTGATTCGAAGCAGATGAAGCAGAAGAAGGTGATGTGCCAATTCCCAACCGAATCTATGAATTGCTATAGCACAGGAACAAACCACGTGTCCAAGACAGGCAAGCTGGCATTGACCAGCCAGTCAAGGGACTAAAAGTGCCAATTCGAGAAAGTTATGTGGCCAAAATCTGAAAGGGCAGAAGATAATTGTACCTAAGGCCACTCAAATTT